AAAGCTTCAGCAGATATTTCCTTTGCAACATCTCAACCAACAATTGGTACAGTTATCAATGCTATTTTCAAGTTTTGAACAACTCAACTTTCAAGATCTACGTATCTACAAGTGCCAATGTTTCCATTTATCAACATTATATTTTAAGATCTGTGCAAAAACACAGCTAACAGATATTTCCGCATATAATTAATTGGCTTTCTAACAAAGCTATAAATCAAGAAGATTGGAAGTTATAAATTTATAACCTGGCTTGTCAATTTCTATAGCATCTGTTTCTAATTAGTTGGACACTTAGAAAATCATATAAGGTTAGAAAGAAAATCTAAAATAGGCAATTTAGAATACAAATGTGTCACAGGACACAGGGAAGATCATTAGGAATTTTTCTTAATATTTCCTTTTGAAATTATGATATTAAAAATTAGATAACATTAAAATATAAATTATAAACCAAACTTTGATGCCAAGTTTATTGACATACATTAATAAATTAAAGAAATTTTTATATGTAACTCTGTAAAAAGTTGTGACATGCACTTTGACCCTGCAGTGCACATAGGGTTACAGGACTAAAATTGATTACCAAAAATCGAACTCTACAAATCACAAAGTGTAGAGTTTTATGCTTAATCTTTTCTCCTGATAAGTTTCTGAAACAGAAGATATAAATTCCTCAAGCTTACATGCTTTTTTTTCATCCATTGTAAGTTTCCTCCAGTCATCTTTCTCTTTTTCCCTAAGAGTTATTATTTCTTGAGAATTCTCTTTGAAACGGATGGCTGGCATTGGAAAATCTGTCCTGTCTATATAGCTTGGTTCTCCATTTAAGCCAAATCCAACAACTTCCCGGTTACCTATTCTCTCTTTATGGTATGCAACTGATGGGATGAATATTCTGGAAGCTACATATCGAGAAGGTAAATGTTTTGTTGCCACTTTAAGTAGATGACCAGCCATACTTGAAATATCTGAAAATCAAAATTTTAGTTACTTAACCAAATACCAAAATGCAATATATTTGAGATAGAAAAATGAAGTTTTATTTATTTCCTCCTCCAAAATCATAACAATTAACAGAGTCAACTAAAGTATAGAAATTTAAATTTCGAATAAACAGCTCTTTCAAAAAAAAACTTCTACACAAATTCCTTAAGAAAATTTCTGAAGTTCTGTCAAATGTATTTGTTATATTCACTAATACAAGAACACATTTAAAAATTTTATTTATTTAAAGCTAAAATATTTAAGTGTAAACATGCACAACTGCTGTTGCTGAAGTTCAAAACTTTCTAGGTATTTTCTAGCTTAGTTTTAGATACTAATTGTGGTATAGGGCAGAAGAAGTAATAACAATAGGTTAGATATTTAAGGCATATACAAGTAAAGGCAGCTGGTAGCAAATAATATGTAAGAGCATTTTAGAGTATAATCAAATTCAAAAAGATCTGTGTAGAGCAGCAAGTATACTTTTAAAGACAGGAAAGACTTGTATGCATGTACCATGGATGGCTGTATTTAAAACAGATCTAAAAGAACAACACTTGAGAAAGCTTGAAACTGGCTATACAATTTTTTTTTAAGTTCCTATTCATTTAGCAATAGTTATGAATAAGATAGACCAGTGGTTTTCAAACTTTATACAGTCTGAGCGCACTTACAATACTACAGATACTTGCTGGCGCACTGTATACAAAATAGGACTGATATGTTATAATTAAGTTAAA